CCAGAAGGATTCACTGTTGATTTCATTTGGCCAGGAAGTAAATTGACGAAAATTATCATCTCAAATATATTTACTTATGTCAACAAAAAAACCTTCAACACATTCATCAATAACGCTGTGGCCTTTAAAGGAAAAATATACAATAGGTGACGTTTTTGGTAATGGCTCTTCTTCATAGCGCATCAATCCTAGAAGGGATATTTGCCCAAAACGTCACCCAAATTATACATTTTTCCTTTTAAGGTCACAGTGTTGTCATTGACGAACGTGTTGAGTGTTTGTTGTTAATTGTGCTTGTGCGCCATTGCCAACACAGCGGCAGCAGCAGCAGCGTGACCAAATAATTTGTCTACTTCTGGCAAAGCGGTGCTGTGGTAGGGTGAATATCATGAATTAAAATTCTAATTTGGAGTCGACTCATCCCATCAGCTCCCCAGGGTCAGGTTATATGAAATGAATACCATTTGTGACAAGTCATCAGTAGTTGTTCGATAGATAGAATACCCCCTGTCAAAGAAATGTTTCCTTGGCAAAATTGTAAGTGTCTATTTTGTGTGAATTATTGCATCTATATGTGGGGAGCGGTGGCACAGTTGTTTGCGCACTGTGCTACGAACCCGTCGACCCGAGTTTAATTCCCACTCAATGGCCAATGGCAGTGGCCATTATCTGAACTAGTCGTGGGCCTCCCCGAGATTGACTTAGCCTTAAATGAGTGCCGAGTTCGACGTGTAAAAATTAGCACTGGCTAGACAAAGACGGCCGGCCATGATTCTAACCACACCACCCCCTCGCGTGCCGTTCGGGCCTTCACAGGTGCCCGCTAACAGCACTTGTCCCAACAGCCTGTATAAACTATTTGGGGGATCTTTGTTGTTTGTGTGTGAGTGTACGCGTGCCTTGTCAGTGAACGCAATGGACAGTGGAAAGGCAGTACCCCCTCTCCAATCAATAACGGAGCTGGTAACGCAGCAGCAGCATCAGAACGTGTCCGGATAATTGCTATGGATCGAATAGGGAAAGAGCATTAATCAACACAAACGAGCCAGCTGCTTAGCCTGAGTGAAAAAATAATAAATTAAATAACCACGTGTCACCGGCTTGAGATTGTACTTAGCACAGTATGCCTGTGTTGCACAATTCGCTCCAATTAGTGTTTAATTAAATGTGCACTAAAGTTGTTTCGTGTTGACGCCATAGCGGCTCGGTGTGGTTGATCCCGCTTACACGAGCACCCCACAAACCCAACCCGGCTGCTGACATCCTTTTCGCAACGCCCTGAATTCCGCGACTAAACAACGTACGAGTGGTGTTCCCCTCAAATGAGCCTGTGGGCATGTGCACGTCTGCTGTGTACAGTCTTCAACCAGTGGGTAGATATGCCAAATTCCCCGTCGCAGGGGTGAGTTCGTCTGCAAGACCATCACAGTTGCCTTTGCACTCGGGTGGTGTTTGTCTGTGGTGGTATCGATGAAGATTATCGTGGTAACCTTTTGATTTTGCGGCGGCACGTGCCCTGTACCTGGTTCTTTATTTAGCGTTCGTGGATCTCACGGAAAACGTAATGCGCATGAGACACCAACCCACCTTGCAGGACAATAAGGTGGCCAGTAAAAGCCAAGACAGTAAGGAGCTTGTGGACCTGCTTATATGGGTTACTATAGAGTTTGTGTGGATCTTGTATTCTAGTTTTCTTCCAAGATGGACTTTGTAAGAAATTGCTGAAATATTCCAAGCAGCACAATCATTAAAGGGAGTCTTGAGCCTCGGCGAGTCATCAAAAGCCGGTCAGTGCCTCCGTACTCAAGCAAGCAATCGGTGGTGCTGATCAGCTTAAGGGGAGGCCCTGAGCCAGTGATGGGAATTCCACCTTCCTATGAAGAAGCCATTTTCTCTATAGGACTACCACCAGTGTCTTCCAACAGAATGGAATCCATGTATGATAGCTTGAGTAAATCCCTGCAACTCTTAAGCGCTGCGTTAGTCTTGTCAACTCGTGCAAAAAACCAGGAGACGAACCCAGGGCCTCCAGAATGTAGCCACTGGTTTTTAGGATTTAGTTTTTTTATATCAAATCCCAGGAAGTCTCACTTCAGTGGCTGGTTTGTGCAGCTTGTAGCTCTTGAGTTCTTCAGACCGTCCCCGCCGCCCGCTGTCCAGACTCGCAGCCTTCAGATGAGTAATCCCCTTTTTAACCACCACGAGCAGAGGCATGTATTATTATGACTATTAATATGATTTTTGTCTTAATAATAGCGCCACGCATTACCGCGAGCTGTGTTTGGAAAATTGCATTAGGGATATGCCGATGCCCTTATGTTCGCGTGGATGTTATTAGGTTCCTCCCTACTCCATTTCTCTCCCGTCTCGCAGCAAATAGCGAACACAAAGTGCCCTTGTCTGTTCACCTCGGTGCTCCACAGAGCCACAGGGACTGGAGGTTTAACCCTTCGCCAGCAGGGCGAGGTTTCAGAAGTTTATATCTTCGGGGGCTGGCTCGCCGTGAGGCTATTAATGCCCACATTGGTGCACAGAGCTGACGCTCTGGTGGTCGTGCACAGCTGTGATCCAGCACTTGGGTAGTGCGGTTGGTGGATCGTCCAGAGGTCATAATGTGCCGTGAGGCTCCCAGCGTTCTGGCTTGTGATGCGGCTAAGAGATGGCGGTACAGCAATTGGGTGTTGTTGACTGGTCTTGTGCGGATTTTCGAGTGTTTGAATCGGTGGGTTCTCTCGGGGTTTCTCCGGTTTACTCCCACGTGCAAAAAAACTCCTTCAAAAGAGACCAAGCCTAATGTGTACATGTGTGCGTGTATGTACGTACGCCTACTTCATGTGCATGTGTACCATAAATGCGCGAGGTGGTGGCACGGTGCTTTGTCCACTGTTGCGAGCCTGGCAGCCCGAGTTAGATTCAACGTCCGCAGTTCGTTTCGGTGGCGAGTGAGATCTGCACGGGCAACGCGGTCTTTCCCCTTCACCAACGTGGGTTGCATCGCTTCTGCGGCCGCCTGGAACGCTCTTCCTCCCTATATTAGGAAGCTGCTGGAGCTATGGCACTTTTAAATCTAGATTGACAACCCATTTCTTTAGTACTGCATTTTGTGTTTAGTTTTCTGTTCTTACCCCGCACCTCAGATTAGCACGGTTGGCTACGTACGGTGCAAAAGAAGTCCAATATACTTACAAACATGGTCGAACACCTCCACGACTGACATGGTGTGGGGGGAGGTCTTCAGCCCGCAGGAGGGTAACAGACGGGTGCAACTTCTTTATCCTTATTCATAGTTCTTCCGGTAAAGTCACGTAGAAGGGAAATAACAAAATAATAACAATAAAACAATAAAATTCTCACGACGTTTCGATTGCAACACAAGCAATCATCATCAGGTGTGAAAGACACAGCAAGAAAATTTGAAAAAAGTGCTTATAAATTATTTGGCGACGCTGTGTTGGCAGCCGTGCACAAGCATAGTTAACAACAACAAACTCAGTGCACTCTTCAACAACACTGTCTTTTAATATATAATCAGCAAGGAATCAGACAATAGCCCTTCTTCATAGCACGATAGAGGCCAGAGTGGTAGAGTGCCACTAATGTTAGCTCTGGCCGAAATGTTGTAGATAATATATTTATTTATTTTAAGTCAATGTTGTTGACGAATGTTCATTTCTTGAGTGGTATAGCTATACCGATGTCAAATGTATTGCAAACTATCTCCGTACGATCCAATCGCTCTGCACAATTTTCTCCTTTGGCCACCCGTTAGCTCAAGAGCGACGATCGAACCGAATAATCTCGTTCCATCTTTGTCCTGTACCAAGAAACGCAACACATTCGTCAATAAGGGCCTTAATAGGAAAAATATATATTAGGTTATGTTCCGGGCACCTTGTTCGTAGCACATGACAGAGAGGCAGAGTGGATAATAAGAGTTGGAGAGTGCACTGGGCTGATGAGAATTACATTTTTTTAAATGTTTTCAGATGACCATATGAATCGTCGCCTAATAGCTGACACATTCAACTTTACAGCAGCCATTTAAAAAACAGACAACTCCTTCAACGAGCAAAAAGTATTTATAAAACAAAATCATTACCATTATAAAAAATATTTCTGGAACCTTGCATCGTGGGAAGATTGTCGCTTGTATGCACAAGGCACAATGCGCTTCGCAAGGCGTTGTGCTTGTGCACCACTGCCAATGCGGCATCACCAAATGCTTTGTCCTGTGCCAGCTTTGTTTAGTTCAGTCGCACTCTGCACCCTTTTATTCTGTGTCATTCTTCATTTGCATCGATCTTTCTCGTTCTTTGTCTCTGCTTCTCTCTCATTGCGCTTGAGTGTGGATCGCTACTTGTGGCACCCTCTCTGTATTTATTTGAGAGCCACGTCCAAACCACGGAGTCATCTTGACGTTTCTGGACGAGTGTTGTTTCTTGTACGAAATCCTCTCGAATATTTTATTTTATTTCTGCACAAGGGCCGCTGCCATGATGGTGGAATAGCACGATTGACTTCAGATGTCGCGGTTCGATCTCCCGGCATGGCTTTTGAAACGGTGGCCAGGATTTTTGCCATTCTCCGCTTGTTTCCACCCAGCAGTATGAGTAGGCGCACCAAACTCCATCTGTAGGTCATGTGCGGTGGGCTAAATTGTGGGATACTCCCACCTTTTTGAAGACGTATGGTCAGTGTGGAAGAGTAGGCCAAAACATACCCACTTCACCAGGACTTTAGGGATCCCTCAAATGGAGGTTATTTCGTCAGCAGTTGCATGAGCAAGGAATTGCAGGGCTGCACCTTTAACCTACGTGTACAATAATATTCTGGTTTAAGCACAGTTATGAACTCCTTGATTCAAACCGCAGCACCCCAGTGGTGCTGGCTCCGTGCTATGCATCACTATCAGCATTGTGCCATTGCTTCTCTGGCACCTGTGCCACCCGTTACCGCGTTTAACATCGCTGCACCCTGTTGTGCACCGCACGTGTCCCCAGCCCCTGCCGCTTCTCCGCCGGGACACCGGCTTGATGTTGACGATATCTCAGGAGCAAGCCGCCTGCCTCCTGGCCAACGCCTTCTTTTGCACGTTCCCCCGGCGCAACGCCACCGGGCCCCGGAGCGAGTACTCGGCCTTTCCCGACATCAACTTCAACAGGTGCAGCAGTAGCAGCAGTGCACTCACTGTGCGTTACAGATTGTACACAGCGTGTGTCATGCAGTACGCACGCACACAGGCCATGCTGTACACACCGTGTCTCATGCAGTACACACACAAATGCCATGCTGTACACATCGTGTCTCATGCAGTACACACACATATGCCATGCTCCCTCTATGTAGAGTATTTACTGCTGTATAGACAAGACATGCCCTTCGACTCATAACTGCCATGCTCCATTGTTCACACAGACAAAGTTTTAGTTCAAAGTCACGCTGCAGTCCATGCACAGGCTATGCTCCCTTACACATACTCTGTAATATATTGCGCACACTTTCATGTTGCTGTGTACACGGTATATGATGCATTACACAGAGGCCATGCTGTATTATACACACCATGCAACGTATCAGTTTATACGGAGCCAGTGCCACTGTACAAAGTCAAAGATCCCCCTTATAGCCTTAACAGACTTTTGAGGCAAGTGTTGTTAGTGAGCACCTATGAGGACTGGCACAGTACAGGGGAGTGGGTGGCCAAAGCCACGCTCAGCCGCACTTGTCTTAAAGCTGAGTCGACCAAGGGGAGGCCCAGGGCCGGTTCAGATATTTGCCACTGTTATTGGTCACGAGCGGGAATTGAACTCGGGTCACTGGGTTCATTGTGCAGCGCATAAACCGCTGCACCACCACTCCCCACTTGTCGATGTACACAGTCACACCCAGGTAACGCTGAAGCTCAGATCAGAGTAAGACCTGAGCTTTTGTAAATCTCCTTTCACAGGGAGATTCCCATACTGCACTTGGTCTTACTATCACACCTCTGCAATTGTTAAAACGGGCGACATTGCACTGATGGTCCATACGCGTGACAAACCCACGATCATTTCCTGTGTCACATAGTGGCAAAGCCACTTTACATTTGCTGTGTCACAGCTTGGTATATTAAACTTAATGCAACCTCACTCTCAGTTGCTGATTTAAGTTATTGTGTAGGTCATATTGATGGCATATACAAATCTTCTTTCAGTTGGGGAAAGTCAACAATGATGGAAGCAAAGTTATCAATGAATATTAAGAATGAATCCACTTGGTGATTTAAAATTATGAAGATTGGGGTGCAAAGAGTGTTATTGTTAGCTTTGAAGTAGATTACCCCTTGCGTTGCCGTATAGGAACCCTGAAATGCCAAAGGTCAATCGATCGGTTTAATTGCCCTGTGACCTTCCACTGGTCCTTGTGATTCTAACAAGATCAAATTTGTCTATTTGCTTGTCTGTGACTAGCCTGTCAAAGCTTTTTCATAAGTCGTATATTTTATGAATTTTATGGACATGCAAAGGCACACTTGTGAGATTTTCAAAGCATTGCAGCCATCACATTGGCTTGCAACTGGCACAAACGCCCACGGTAGTTAGCCACAAAAAAAACAATGGGCAATGCTCCTGAGCCTCAACTGCCAGCCTCACTTTGAATGTATTACTGTTATTTACTTTTACATTTTACAAATTGATCGACCCTTTCCTGTAATCAATTAAAGCTCACTGCGGTTAATCATCTAATTGTAGATAATAAATGACCGCGTGTAGCAGGTGGGGAGGGTGGAATGAGGCGCTTGTAGGTGGGGGACAGATGACCGCTAAACGCTACTGCCTTACATATTGAGTGGGACAAATTAACGAAATGTTGCAGTTCATGCAGACCTACAAAATCACCCTCATAGTCATTTAACTAAATATATAAGCACATAATATGCCCCCCTCACATGTCTGTATCTCCACATAAAAAATAAGTGTCTTTCACAACCCATCAGCTGCACAGCCTTCTGGGACGTGCGTACTTTCAGCAGAATTGTTTCAAGACGTGAAAACTCCAGACTGGTTTCAACATTCAGTGTCTCAGCAGTCGCACTTGCTTGAATCACCTCTCTTGACGTTATGGGGTCCGAGTTCGATGCAAAATTATATCATATATAACGTTTTACATTGGGGTGAGTTATATTGGCGAGCGCCTGTTTAGATTCGAGCGACATACGAGGGTTGTTATGTGGCCAGCACCACATCCAACCGCGTTTGTCTCTCCAGCGTTCACACACTGAAAATAATCAAGAAAAGTTCAGACGCCACAAATAAAAAGAAAGCCTCAACACATTCGTAAATAACGCTGCCTTAAAAATAAAAAGGATGTAATTGTCAACGTTTTGGGCAATGGTCCTTTTTCAGAGAACAGAGAGGCTGGAGAGGCCGAGTGTGACTAATGTCAGCTCTGGCCGAGAATCAAACTCGGGTCTCTAGGTTTGTAGCGCAGCACAGTAGCTACCACACTACCGCCCCCCATCTACAGACACACACCAGGGCTGGGTCGCCACGGACCACCGTGCCCGGATTAATATTTAAAAGCTCACACGCATGCTATAATGATGCCACTCTAAGAAGCAGGGCGCTGACATTTGCAAATAGACGCCAGTTAGGGCCCAAGTCACCAATTTGCCAAATGGGGGCATTTGCTGTTTTATTTATTGCAAACGTGCCGGCCCTTTTTAAAATATGGTATTAGAATCTGAGTGTTTGTATTCAAGCACGGCTGAGTGGCAGTGTGGCAGAATGCTCGACTCGCATGCAGAAGGGCTCGAGTTCAACTCCTGGTTAGACATTGACCCATCCTGCCTTTGAATCGAGGAACGATTTTCTTCGGAATGAAACATTTCCCAACGGCCATGGAATTGTACTCGTTTCCATCAGCTTCTGAGAACGTTGATGGACATTGCACATTCCTGTGCCGGGTACAAGTCCCCTCCATAGGGCTTTCGCTCTTGACTTCCCCCGCACCTCCGATTAGCACAGTCGGCTACGTACGGTGCGAAATAAGTTCAACAAACATCATACATACGTAAAGTGGCGTGTATTTTATGAACCTCGAAACGATAATGGCCGAGCGCCATTTTTATTTGTGACTCTTCACTTTAGCTCGTAGATCTCTCTGCCACGCCGCGCGAAACGATGCTTAATATACTCTTTGTTTTTTTCGGTAAAGTCATGTAAGTAAAAAAAAACAACTAAATTAAATCATGACGTATTATATTTTTTTACCTACGTGACTTTACCGAAAAAAACAAAGAGTATGGATCCTTGCAGTCACGAAAACTTCAAATCTGGATGTTTAATATATTTGTCTTGAGTGTTATTATGCTATCCAGTTTGTTTTTACATTGACACGAAAGTTCCGAATTAAAACAATAACTATGCTTGCATAACAAATGACCGAATGTGAATGCAATTATTTTGCAAACTGAAATGCAGGCAAGCATAGTGATATATACGTCTAAAAAAACATGTTTAATTTAATTGTATTATCATAGCTTAAGCGTATTGTTTTCTGCAATTTAATTAAAATGTATACTGACATTTTAGTGCATTAATAGTCTGCTTTGTCAGTACGATATCGGTTGTTCCACGGATAGCCTTGCCCCTTGCATTGCAATGTGGACTCTTCACCACGAGTGTAGTGCCACCATTGGAGATGAGCTCTGCCCCTATGCTCGATAAAAGTGAGCATGAAAACACTGGCAATTTTTTGAAACTATAGAAGTCATAGTTGTTTCAGACATTATTTAAAATGATTTTAAATATTAAAGGAAGTGGATTTAATGAAAATGTTTATTGTACCAGGTACGGCCCACTCACTGGCAGAGCCAGTGGGGGGGATGGGGTGACACGTGCCCCCCCCCCCCCCCCCCCAATGATCCGATCGAAATCCCTAACTTCGATCGGATCATTGGAGTTTATTAGTAATAAATCGGATATTATTGTGCCAGGGACTCTATGAGATAATAAGACAATAATCTTGAGTCCATAATTGGCAATAAGTAGTGGCAAAGCCGTTTTAAGTGACTCAGAATTGTGCGCAGTTGCGTATAGAGTACACAACTTTTCTGAAGTCATCCCTTCAGCGAGCGCGATGCCGATCACACACGGTTCGAATTGGACCCTCGATCGATGGCTGCGCTATCGTCGCACATGCGTCGAATAAAAAGCAAGGGACAAGTCCTTACTTAGTAACAACTCCTATCATTTTTCATTGCTGGAGGGGTTGCCCCCCCTACCTACTAAGCTATATAGCTCTTATTTAGAAGCGACTTGGCCACAAATGATTGCCAAATGAAGTGGCTTATGGTTTGGAAATGTATAGCAGACAAATACTCCAGATGCATGTTTTTAAATGTGGAGGGGAAAACTGGAGGACCTGCAGTAAAATCCATTCGACCATGGGGAGAGAGACATTCAAAATTCAAATATACAGGCGTCAGGATCTGGATCGAACCCACAGCCTCCTGTATACCAGGCGAAGTATTTAACATCTCGCCACCCTCCCAATTAATTATCCTAACCATCATAATCATTGCCATATTGCTCTTTCCCAGGCTCTTTGAAGGGAAATCGGACCGCAAGTTGGAGAAGCTATCGGCCATCTTCCACTACTTCCGCCAGGTCTGCACCAAGAGTGAGTGGTGCCACCTCTGCGGAGACTTTGCTGAGCTCCCGAGCTCTCCCTCAACTCTGCGTTGCCGTCCGCTGCATTTGTTGAGCCTGCTGGAACTCCTCGTTACCAAACCTTACGCACTTAACCTGAAGCGAGTTAAACAACAAGTTCGGGTATTCTTTTTTTTATTGTTGATCGAGAAACCGCTTCTTGTTAAGTTTGTATTGCTTGTACACGGTCACCACTTTACGTGTTGGCACATTTAGATGATATTTGTATGAACACACTATATATAAAGGGTGTGGTGGCCTCAACCACTTTGACCGTATTCTTGGTTCTTTTGGTAAAGTCACGTAGAAGGGAAACAATAAAATAATACAAATATAAAACAATAAAATTCTCACGACGTTTCGATTGCAACACAAGCAATCATCATCAGGTGTAAAAACCACGGCAAGAAATTTTGAAAAAAGTGGCGTTTTTTTTTATTGTATTGTTTTATAATTTTATAATTTTATTATTTCCCTTCTACGTGACTTTAGCGAAAGAACCAAGAATATGAATCCCTGCAGTCACGAAAGCTTTAAATCGCTTTGACCGTGTTGATACATTTCATCAACCTGGAGAAGGTTATTGAGTTATACCCTGACTTGGGTTTGAACTCGCAACCTTCTGGCTACCAGATAAGCTTCATAAACCACAGTGACTACTCAGGGTGTATCACTCGCACGCATGTATATATTGCTCTACATGCTACCACCCATGTACACCTGTTTGTAGATACCAACATACCTATTCTCACGCTTTCTTTCACCCATTCATTTCTCCGGAACGCACGGCATTTTGAGCAGTGACAAGCAATGCAAGATTACTTCGCCGAATGAGGGTAAATTTGACCCTGGAGAAAAATCGAGTTGGGCGCTGTGCGTGATGAGCTGTTAAAAGCGCGTGAATTTCGGGGTGAACCTTGGATATTTAGCCAACAAATTGTTGAACGGGCAGGGACGCAGCTGGAGTTGGGAGTGGCCCGAGCAGCCATATCGGCAGGAGGTCCCCGCACATCTGTTTTACCCCCGTTATCCAGGGTCACCCTGGGGCCCGTGCCTTATGTATGTATGTTGAACTGCCTTCGCTCTGTACGTATCCAGCGGTGCAAATCAGTGTTAGTTCTCACAGGGGCACATACATTTGCACATAGACACAAAGACAGATCCCCCATATAGCCTCAACATACTTTTGCGGCAAGTGCTGTTCGCGAGTAGCACCTATGAAGGCCGGCACGGCACACGAGGGGCTGGGTGACCAGCACCACGCCGGGCCGCTTTTGTCTCCCCAGTGACGATGTTTACCCACCGCACCAGGTACTGACTGGAAACGAAGTCAACTTAGGGGAGACCTATAACTGGTTCAGAAATTCGTCACTTGTGTTGGCCGTGGGTGGTAATCGAACCCATGTCACCGGGTTCGCCGTGCAGTGCGCTACCCCCTGCGCTACCGCTCCCCACACTCACTCGTACACACGCAGGCGGAATGAGGGGTGCAGTGCGCTCGAAAGCGCGATGCACAGACAGACAGCGACACGCCCCGACGCACATGCCCCGCTGTGATTGAGTGTGCGTCCCGTCAGTCCAGCCCACTCCTCCTCCTCCTCTCTGTCTTCCATCCATCACTCACATGACTCATCGAAAACACCGAATACATGTATAGACACACATGCACGTACGTAGACATATCTGTACACACAATGTACAATGCACACATGCGTGAGACACATTCACACACGTTGTTGCACGTGCACACACACGCGTACAATTACCAAGATCCTGTATGTAGCCTTTAAGAGACTGTTGGGGCAAGTGCTGTTAGCGAGCACCAAGTGGCAGTTGCACCCCCTGCGTTCGCCACTGTGCCAACTCGCTTTGTTTTAGCCACCCGGTGCTCTGCGCGTTGTGAGTTGTGAGCTTTGCTCCTACGCCCTCCGTCGTTGTTGGAGAGCAAGCGCCACCAACTGCTCAGTAGCAGCCTTCATGAGCCTCCTCCACAGGAACCTTATTGGTCAAGTCTTCAAAGCTCCCAAGTCCTCCCTCATAATATCAGCCCATCTCTCCTCTAGACCGGGCCGTGCCCGCTTTTCCCACGCTATCCGGCCAAACAGAACTACCTGGTTGGCCATCCTTAGACCACACATGAGCATTGATCAACCCCGTATTAGATCTCACTGCCAGATGAAAATTCCATTGATAAAGGATGCTTCCAAAACGACGTAGTCAAAAATAAGCATACCTCTGTAGGCTAATACAGCCACGCAGACATATACAGACATATGAACTCATACGAAGATAAATTCCGCATTCTACATTATTGATATTTAAAATGATGCTTGCCATTCATGTACAAGGTCAGAAACTATACTTCAGGCAGCAACGGCAGCCAGTCATGCTCCTAAGGTTTTGACAACCTTGCAAGTTATTTTGGCTTGTATCCGCTTAGCTGTGGTGGGTTGCTGTCGCGGGAGGGAGGTATGTAGGGAGGGAGGTAAGGAATGATGGAGAGGTTCTATTCCTGGATGAATCTGGATCGGAGTGAACAAGAAAACCACTGTGATGGCCAACAGAGCCGCCTCAATGGCATAACCATGTTTCAATAGATAATAATTCGTTACTCAGTAATGCGTAAACTATGCAGATTAAATCAGCGTCAAAGTGTCTCTGTTCAACTCTGCTCGTAACAGTGAGCCGTTGTGATCATTCCAGATTGCTATGACAAGGGCCAGTCTGTCCCCGGGACAGATGTTGCGACTGCGTTGTTCCCACGCTTGAGCGACGCCCCCAGCACCTTCGCGCCACCGTGGCCGTGCGCACAGGAGGCTCACGAGCACGCTGCATTTTGTTCTCAAGTTTAAAGCGGATTGACGCTCAAATATTATTGAGTCTTCTTTCGCGTGGCTGATGTCGATGCAGAGCAACAGCTACAATTTAACATTCAGGTGGTCAAGCCAGACAACCGTGTCAGGAGTAGCAGAGTGTATCATCATTGCTGTGATATCTCCTTTGTATTTGTGAATCGGGCATTGCGTCGATATATGTTGTATGGTGCATCAGGTGATTTGTGCAGTGGATGCGGTTTATAGTGGACCATGAGCTTCGTGGAAGATCAAACCCAGTGATCTTCTGCATTTGGTCTTTCACAACAAGGTGTTTACGAGTTCTTTTGAACCCCATTCAACTCAATATATCAATAGAAGTAGTAGTAATATGACGGTAATGACTCGTGCTGTTAGCATGAAACAAAGCCAGAGTATGCATATACACACGTTTGTGGCTGGTCCTCATCTCCGTTGGCCGTGCCGAGCTGGTGGTGGGTTGTTCAGACTCCTGTGACAGGGGCGAGTCTTATTATCCGTATGACAAGCGCTGTCCTCTCCGCACAAAGTGCCGCTCATTTTATTGGCGCCGGATGGATGAATGGCTGTGTTGACCGCTGATTACGAGTCAAACTCGGAGCCTTTGTATCATCAGCCACGCATTCTGACCGCAGCATCAATTCATCAGGATCCTGAGATATGAGCAGTGTGTGGAAGCCTTTCAAAATGAGTACGTACATGTGTGTGGGCATGCTAGGATTGTGATACTAAGTCTATAGTATTTGTAGTTATTTGGAAGGTACTTTTACTTTCAGTATTAATATAGTGCAGCTTAATCAATGAAGAATTGTGCTTTGCACGAAGCCCCGCGTGATTCTGACTGTTCGTACACTGACAGCATTTGGCAAATGATAGCTGTCTACTGCAAATGGATGCACACAGACACACGCATGTACAGACACACATGCACAGACGAACAGGCACACGCGCGCACTCGTACACACGCGCGGACACTCGCAGGCACTCATGCATGCACTCAAGCGTCGTACACACACGCACGCGCGCGCTTAATTTAGAGCCGAGGCTGGATTTATGCCGCAAACCTGATCACTTGCTTGCAAAATAAATTATGTTCCTGCAAGGATGTCTGATTTAGATGAAACGTTTTTGGTCGGTTGGGGGTGGTTGGGTTATGGAGAGAGGTAGGGGAGGAAGGAGTCCACAAGAGTGAGCGTAGAGGCTCTGAGGCGTTGGATAAAGGAGTCCCGCTGTGTTTACAAAGTGAAAATCAAGTTTTAGTGTCGACAAACTCAAAGGAGCATGGCATGGTGCTCATCTTTTGTTGGTGGCTCAGAGCCAGGGGTGGGAATTGCACAATATTGTGGCAGGACCAGTCTCAACTAATACAAACTATTTTTTAATTTATCAGGTAAGGCCCCACTGAGCTATTATACAGATATTTTTTCAGAAGCAACCTTGGCCACTAATGATAGCTCAACGAAGTGGCTTATCATCACGTGGAAATGTATAGCAGCCAAATACTCTAAACGCACGTTGATTCTAAATGTGGAGGGAAAAACCGGACGATCCAAAGAAAAATCTTCATGACCACGGGGAAAACTTGCAAACTCCAAATATACAGGCATCAGGGTCGGGATCGAACCCACGACCTCCCGCATACCAGGCGAGGGAGAAAACATCTCGCCACCATGGCACCTCTCTGCAGGCCAAATCACTGCTGACTTTCCACAAAGCATTTACAATTGCAGGGAACCCCATGGGGATGGTGGGTTGAGTTAATAACCTACCAGTTTAAGACTAAAGGGGGTGACACGCATTGGCCCAGCTATTGACCCAGCTTTTGGCATGCTTTGGTTCTTCCCCAAAGACATCAGTTGGCACCTCCGGTGGGAATCGAACACTCGACTGTGTAGCGTGGCTCAATGGCTAAGCCACTGTGACTGGTACACATCACGGTCACTTTTTTCAAATGTTCTTGCTGTGTTTTTCACACCTGATGATGATTGCTTGTGTGGCAGTCGAAACGTCGTGAGAATTGTATTGTTTTATATTTTATTATTATTTTATTGTTTCCCTTCTAACGTGACTTTACCGAAAGAACCAAGAATATACATTGTGCATATGTTTTTATAATTGCATTACATGCATTTAGAGAGCTCATTGGAACAAGGAGACACTTTGACTCAATATGCACATGTGTTAAAACACATGAAGTCACTCGCTGCAGTACACTAGTGCATCGTGGGTGCATATATGCACCAACACATAATGTCTTCTTGATTGAACAATTAATAATTAATTTCTCAGCAGAAACCTAACGCATCTTATGAATCTGTTTGAATCAATGATTCACCCCAATGAGTTAGTGAGGTAGTGAGTGTGCCTGTAGCACAGGAGGAGACTTGTATGATGCTTATAATATGAGCATTTAATAGAAGCCTGGTGGTGGTGGTGGTGGTGGCTAGGCACGTGGCCTGTAATCCAGCACTGTGCGTTACAAGTTTAAATTATGATGATATTACTCAGATGCAGCTTTGACTACTTGAGCAAGCTCGACAATAGAGGCCATTAAGATTTACATTGCTGATGTCTTTAACGTGTGCACTTTATTGCAAATTTCAATGTATAGTAAGTGCACACAGTGCATTATATCTATATATAGATATAGATTGCTTCGATGTAAATCCGTAAGCATATGTGTGCACTGACTCACCGCTCACTGCTTGGCACTTCATTCTATTCATATGAATAACATGCAGGCATGTGTCTGTGTGTACGAATATGCATGTGTGTGTGTGTGCGTTTGGGGAGCAGTAGTGTAGCAGTTAGCGCGCTGCGCTAGAAACCCGTCTACCCTAGTTCAATTCCCGCTCATGGCCAACACCAGTGATAATTATCTAAACTGGTCCTGGGCCTCCCCTAGGTCGACTCGGCCTCAAGCTTAGTATCTGGCACGATGTGTAAACACCGCCGCTGGGAAGACTAAGGTGGCCCGGCGTGGTGCTGGCCACCCACCCGCTCGTGTGCCGTGCCGGCCTCCACAGGTGCTCGCTAACAGCACTTGCTCCTACAGTCTGTAAAGCTATACGGGTGATCTCTGTTTGTGCGTGCGTGTGTGTGCGCGTGTGCGTGCCATCGGTAATTGTGTATTGATCCCAAGTCATTTTCTCTTGCCCAGTGGACAGATTGACATTGCTAGCATAAACTGTCCCCCACCTGTGTGGATATTGTGGAAATGCCGGAGCAATTGGATAATGCAATATGTCATGCTGTGTGTGTGTGTGTGTACATCTGCCTTCATTGATAGGATTAAACGTATATGCTCGATTGCCGAGAAACCCCAGCGATGATTAGGTGAGGCTTTTAGTGTGTGTGTGCGCGTGGGTAGTGGTGGCACGGTGATTCACGCTGCACTACGATCAAGGTGACATGGGTGCAGTTCCCATCCATTGACATCGTCAGAGGAATGCACTTTGGTGAATTAGTTATTGCTCTGCCCTAAGTCGACTCAACCTTAAATGAGTAGTACCTGGCATGGTGCGTAAACATCAACATTGGGAGACAAAAGCAGACTGGCGTGGTGCTATACCCACACCACCTCTGTGTGCGGGATGTGATCCTGAATTGGTGCTTGCTTACGGCATGTGGCCTGTGTAGCGTTAACAGGGGATCGGTACCTTGTCGTCGTAGTCAAACTCATTGTGCTACGATATTGCTTTCGTAAGTTTAGTTTGACCAGGATGAACATTATCACCAGTGGCATTTGGTATCTGGTTCTGGCCTGAGCCTCGCTGAGATCACCTCAACCTCCAGTGTATGTAAAGTGGCATCCACCTGAATTGGTTAAGAAGTTGGTGGGTTTGAACATGCCACTTTTTACATTGAGAACCGAACACTCTTACCCACGGTGCCAACCGGCCAGGTTCCCCGTCGTTGCTCGGGCTTCGTGAAGCTCGCCTGCGACAAGTGCTTGTGCGTGGGTGTTGTGGGAGTGCACCGGGGCCCACACTCTTGATGAATGACGTGGGCAGCAACTATTGGATTCCCGTTTGATCCGCTCGGGGCCTTCCCTAACGATCCACGCATTAACAAACCCACTTCTCATTAGCACCTGCTTCAAAATTTGAATTTCTCCTGGGATGAGCTAATGCCGTAACTTTAGCTAAATTGTCATCGGCCACCGTCTTATAATTATTTTTCATTATGTATCTTTTTTTCAATTATTTTTGGGCGCTCACTGTTTAGTGTCCAAGCCCATCCAGTTAGTGAGCCTGATGCGGGGCGGCGGGTGGTATTCACGCTGTGCGGACAGCTGGATTTAGCCTCGTGGTCACTGCTGCCAGCACTGAACGAGTTTGCAGAGTCGAGGCTTCGTGTCCCATGACAGCCGCTTACGGCTATGTCTTTGTGACCGTGGGGAAGAGGTGGTGTATAACTTGCCCCAGCAATCAACTTAAGCTATGTGGAGGATCTTTGTCGTTATGGATGTTTCTATATGTTAGTGTGTGCTCGTGGTATCTGAACCTCTCTATCTCCCCAACATCGAGTCACTATTAAAGGCATGCATTGTATTGTCAGCAAATGTCTCCACTTGGACATCACGGGCCTTGTATGTGTAAGAATTTAAGTTGTTCCATTCATGCAAATTCTATGAGAATGATTGATTTGGACTAAATGGAGCGAACACAAATGTCCGTTGAGATGGAAAACATGAACAATACGATCGAGACTGGAAAAACGAGATAGAAATGAGTTGACTAATCTATATTTGAAGTTTTGAGTTGACGACAAACCCAAACGACGACAGTACGTCAACTCGCCGAGGGGTGGCATGGAAGTTAAGTAGTCCGTAGTTTTTCTTTGTTTGTTATATTTTTTATTGATTCACATATTTAACTTGGAACATGCCACCCCTACTCACATCACTTTTGTGCCCCTGTGGTCTACAAAACTTAACGGGTGTGATCTCTTTGTGTGGATGTGTGTGCTTCACTGGGCTGTAATTATTTTGACCCGGGGTTCAGTTGCTGGCCATACTCAACCCGAGCAGCAGTCGGGCTCTGAATCTGCACCTCGACTCGTTTAACGTATTGTTACGTGCGACCAGAGATTGGCTGCACATTGTTCAGTTCATACTATACCCCACAATTTCCAATTTGGCCTTGAGGTGCTCGCTAACAGCATATACCCCATCGATCTATAACGCAATTTGTAATCTCTGTGAGTGCATGAACAATGTATATTTGTCCGTGTAAACATGTCCATTTTAATAACTGTGCAGAATCAGGCACATCGTAAATGTACCAAATTATGTTTTTATATCGTAGCATTGCTAAAGTGTTTCCATTTCCATTAGCGCTGATGGTTAAGTTAAATTATCGCTGCCTTTTTATTATTTACTCATAAAATGTTGATTGAGCACCAATTCACCCACTGTCATGAACTCTCTTGCATCACTGCGGAATTGCATCCGAGTTGTTTTGGCCTTGCCACCACCTGCTCTTGAGTCTGAATCAGTATTTTCTATTTCACTTCCCTTAATGCGTCCTTTGTATAACCAAACTAGGGCCCATTGAGATGCTATAGCTCTTGCGGACACGTCAATCCATTGTCCTTTAGCCAAATACGATTCCATTGATATTGACGATATTTTTCAAGCAAACTTGTATATAGTGACCTTCATATGACCCAAAGGTTTGCTGTCATTTTAAAGACGTGGGGCGGGAGGGGGTGATACATTCATCATCCTTGATTTAGCCAAGAAAGAGAGCTCTAAGATTAATTGTGACCAGTTAAATTCAGTGTACTTTTTTTTTTACCGAGTGGGAGATCATTGACGTTTGTTAAATTGCATCCTTCACACCGGGGTTCAGTTCGAGTCTACCTTCTAATTCAACAAACAATATTTAATTGAAATGCATCGCCTCTTGACGAAGGCAACCACCATAATCTTCGTGGCCTTCGCCTAACAAGCTGAGAGATCCCATTGAGATGAATTGGCTAATTCTCAGGGTCAAAATAATCAAGTCGACTCACAGGGTCCCTCCCCCCACCCCTGTTCAAATGAGTAATGGATGCAGCGCTAATCTCTATTGGTGGACCTGAGTTAATGGTGGAGATTCCTCATGAACAGTGTTTCCATATTACGACAAATGTTTACTTCTTTACAAAGAAGTACTTGGTCTGTCACCCATAGAGGAATGGTGGGCTTAGTTTAGCCCACAACCACCACCCCCCCACCACGCCGAGATTTAATGTCGCGGACCTTGCTCACGTGCGTTGAGCACACGAACCAAAGTGTAAGCTGGGCCACGTGGACTTCGTTTTGATCAGGATTGATGAAATGTTATCTCTCACCCAGACGTCCTATCGGACTCGGGTTAGGATCCCCTGTGTCTTTAGCCGGGCGACGGTGGCGCACGCCTGTAATCCAGTGCTGTGGAGGTCAGCGTTGGCGGATCGCACATGTTGGGAAAGTCCCCATGGTCGTTGGGAAAGTCCCCATGGTCGTCGAGGCGCCCAAACCCTTTACTAGCTCACAAGGCGGTACAACAAGAATGTGGATGTCGCTTGTTCTGGGGTAACGTTGCCCCCTCATGAGCGTGGGTTTTCTCCGGGTGCTCCAGTTTCCTCCCACGTGTAAGCTTTCATTAATTGGCTGAAAACATCTCCGTATATGAGGGACCACAGCTCGGCAATTGTTGGTGCCGGTTCACCGTCTGGCTGCCTTCCCGCTCGCCTGTTGTTCCTCGCGCCTCCGAGTCGTTCTCTGTCTTCGAGAACGAGCGAATGCTGTGCAGCGCGTGACAACTTCGAATTATACTCTTAGGTTTTTTCGGTCAAGTCACGTAGGTACCTAGGTTTTTTCGGCAAATTCACGTAGGTACCTACGTGACTTTACCGAAAAAAAAAAAAACTTTAAAAAACCTAAGAGGATGAATCCTTGCAGTCACGAAAGCTTCAAATCTAGAACTTCGAATTATTTATTATTATTATTACTATGAGTGAAGAATTGCTGCTGACAAGCCAGTCTTTGTTTTCTGTCCTCCGCAGTGCCGACAGGATTGCTGACGTTTCACAGAAAAAAACTTGAAACGAAAGTTGAGTGGGAAAGGTAAGTCTTTTGTTTTATCAGAGTAAACATTGTATTTCCACAGCATGAATTTCAACTTCATGATTGCATTTCAATGAGTTGTTTCAATTCACACATATCCCACTGGGGGAATCGGGAAATATTAGGTAAACAAAAAGGGCATCTGCATATGTAACACCCATCTCAATATTTTCTTCCTGGTTTACTTTAGCCTACATAACTGGTTTGATTTTCCTACAACTTTCAATGACGTGTAAGCAAGAGGTCATTGCTATCCAAGTAAGAGAGAGATGAACAATCATTGAGGTATATATTAATGTATCATTGTGTCCATTGAACTTGTATGGACATTGCAAGCCAAAGTGCCTCCCTACCCAAACAGACAATGGTGGCAGCACTAGTCTCCCTGAGCCAATGGTGTATATTCCATGTTTCCATGGAAAGTGGCCAGTCTCTCCATAGGCTGTTCAGTGCCATGAGGACATTTGGATGTTATCGTCAGTTGTTTGCCTGCTAAGCCATCAGGGACATGTCACTGGACATAAAACATCTTTATTTCCAGAACCCATTCACTCAGTATATTTGTACAGAAGGGAGGTTTCTGGCCCACTTTCACTCTTAATCCCCTTGCGATGATGACGACATGATGAGTATTTTTCTGGTGGTCCAGTTTCTCTCATTCGTATAAAAATTCCCAAAAATGAATGTCTTTGTACATTGGTCATCGGACATGCTTTAGTTCGATACTATTAAACTCTGTCCAGTGCCGCTCACCTAGAAACTCGTCCGTTCGTTATGAATGTCAGCAGTACCTTCTGAAAAAAAAATAACTAAATAAAGAATGCCACATTCCTCTCACCAGAGGAATGTGGCATTTCCACATCTGGATGAGGGCCAGTCTAATATATTAACACTACTCGATGTTCATTTGAGCAGGAAGCATACGTGCGAAGGTTTATGGGAGGATGGTTCAAGAGTTTTAACGTAATATCCTATCCAGGGTGTAGCTGATTGTTTAATAAGCAGAGCTTCCAGTCTTGAGATTCTGAATTCAAATCTTGACCAGGACTAGACTGAGACCCATTATCTTGTTGTTTGTACGAACAGGATATACTAGTACCTGCCATAGGCATGTGGCATTTTAAACAATGCACCCGGACTCACAAATTAACTTAATTACTCCGATATGGCGTTTTAAGCACAGTATCACAGCATGTCAGCACTGCTGTATGGACACAGCTCAATTACCATGTGGTAAGGGGCTGCCATGTTAAAATGCTGTCTAGACTGCCAGCTTGCTGTATTACTGACTTGATCTACTGTATTGACATGTGTGCCTGACCTGCTGTGTCAACTTGCTGTGTTCACTTGCCCTATTGACGAGCCGTCCTGACTTCACCGTATTGCCCTGCTGCCGTATTGCTGTGCTGCCTCGATGTGTTGTATCTCGCTGTAAATTGCTACAATTTAGCATCACCTATATGTACGCTACACTTGCTATAACCTCTTGCGTGATGATCTGAATCAAGCGCTCTTGTGTACGCTTGCTGTACCGGTGAGCTGTCTGGACTTGCTTCGACTCGTCCTGTTGATGTGCTTTGTTGATTGTGTCCGGATTGGAGAACATATGCAAATTAATGACGTCATGCAAACTCTTTTAAACACAAACGAGTGGGCTTGGGCAAGACGCAACGTAGCTGCAAGGGATGAACAGGCAAGAATGTGAACGGGATGGCAGCCAAGAAATTACACGTCTGTAAATAAGTGCACCGAGGAGATGGAGTGATGAAATCAGTTAATGCGTAGGTATTGGATGGATTGTTGCATCACAAGATCGTGAGGGGGGCAGCTTGGTGAAGCCAAGTGGTAGATTGGTCATGGCTGACGATGATGACGATGATGACGACGACTTAACTCGTTGGGTGGAACGGTGGCACAGTGGTTTATACACTGCACTCAACCTGGGGGCCCGAGTTTGAGTGCCGCACATAGCGCACAGCACACAGTTGAGATGAGCTATTATCTTCACTGCATGCAAATTGTGTGTACGTATTTTATTTAGGATATTGCTCAGAATCGATAAGATTGAACAAATGACACGGTACATACAACATGGGCAGAATAAACATGACATCACAGTACAGACAAGACACATAAATAAAACAATCGGGACAGGCAGTACAGAGAGAGTGTTGCTGAGTGAATTCAGACAAAACGGACAGTACAGATGAGGCCAAACAAACGAAACGTGACAAATGACAGACAACGCAAATGGAAGGAAGAGAGATCATACAAACGAGACAGCAGGCAGTACAAAGGCGACAACACTGCAGACAGGACAAGACCATGCATACATACAAACAAGGCCAAGCAATATTGATTGTTGAATTGAGTCGTGACCCCGAATTGTAACAATTCACTGAGCTGAGGAGTTGCAAATGATTAAACGTCTGCTCAATGTCACTTACCCTTCAGATCCAGAAAACTGCTCACCAACCTGAAGGTGCAGAATGCAGGCACCATTGAGACTGAAGGCAAGGGGATGTTGCAGGTGAGTCTTGTGTTCCTGGAACACTCGCTCGCACATCTGCATGCTTCTCTGTGTGTGCGAGCGAGCGGTGTGCAATTAAGTGGTAAGCGGTGGCGCAGTCGTTAGTGCCACCCTGCTACGAACCCGGCGACACACGTGTTCGATGCCTGCTCACGACCAGCATTGGTGACGAATAGTTGAACTAGTCCTGGACCTCCCCTAGGTCGACTGAGATTTTCAATGAGTACCTGGTGCCGTGTGTAAGCATCAACACTGGGGAGACAAAGGCCACCAGGCGTGGTGTTGGCCATCCACTCCCTCGGATGCCATGGCGACCTTACTAGATGCTCACAAACAGCATAGGACCCAACAGTCTTGAGGCTATAAGGGGTATCTTTGTGTGTATGTATCCACACTTGTTATATAAATATAACTGGGACTGGGTTATAACGTTCACGTCCTCAGCACAGTTTGTTATCACAGTGACAGGTGGCACACACACACAGTCCACCATAACCATCCAGTTAAAAAGTCAACTTTTTATATAAATATCCTATAATGCATTGTGTAATATTTATATATGCTGCCAGTGATATGAATCACTACTGCTGCAGCGAAATGCTACCAGCTTCATAAATATTGCAACCAAAAGAGGAAACTCTATTTTTCTGCCCAGCCACTTCACCCACATTCACATCCATGTGTCTCTGCCTGCATGAGGGTGGCACTCATCCCCATTAAGAGCCGTTGAGCCAGTGGTGGAAATTCCACATTCCTATACTGAGGGCAATTCTCTCCATAGGACGAATTCCGTAGTCTTCCCTCCAAAGTGGTAGCCCCCCTTTTTTACCCCAGGAGGATCGTGAGCCGAGTTGACCCTTCGCCATCAATTGAATATGCGATTTTCCAATTAGGAGTCAAGCTCTCGACTGACCGGGTCAGCTGCAGTGTACAGTTCTAGTTAAAGTGCCTCTCTGCTCAAACAAGCAATGGGGTGGTGCTTATCTCTACTGGAGGCCCTGAGCCTGGAGATTTAGCACTTTCATGGTGGCATCCAGACACTCCGTATGATGACCACACTGAACATATGTAACCATCATCATCGTCATCTATTGTCTATCCACTGCTAGATTTAACTAAACAACTATGTAAACCGATTTTATTTTTAACTAGGTTATATACCCGGCGTTGCCCGGGCCAAAAAAATATTTCACAACTACTCTTAAAAATCTAACAGTAGTGCGTACAGACTGTGGTGGTACCTGCTATGATTACAGCAGTGCATACTGTGGTGGTACCTGCTTTCACTGCAGCAGTGCATACTGTGGTGGTACCTGCTATGATTACAGCAGTGCATACCGACTGTGGTGGTAACTGCTATCACTACAGTAGTACATGTTGACTCTATAGCAGTATTTATCGACTATATACCACAAAGTACTCACCTGGTAGTGGCGTGGTGAGGCCTAGTCCCGTGCAGAGCCTCCGGCCTCGCCTAGATTGTCCAGCCGGCCGAGGTGGCACCTTGGCAGGCTGGGGCTGGGCTGCTACCCCTGACCCCCCCCCCCCCCCAGCCACGATCTCCCCGCAGCTCTCCAGTAATATCTACGGCCTATAGTGGTAGCATCTAGCGACTGTATAGTAGTAACTGCATGCATCGGGGTGGGGGGGACATCACACAGTGAAGAATTTACCTGAGCGTTTAGTGTATTTTTATAGCATTTTTTACGCGAAAGAAGATGTCCCCCTCACTCCCACCGAAGGCGTGCGACTTGGCATGGGCCGTCCCCCCCACCAAAGGTGTGTGAGTTAGTATGGTAGTGCACGCGCCATAAATAAATACATAAATGGGCAACGCACACAAATCGCACTAAATCACTAATTAAACTAATTTAAAGTGGACGGATGTGCAAAGGAATAGTGCTTGCTCACGGCGGAGCTTAAGCCGTGGTACCTGGCTATTTTTATTTAACGTAAACCCCACCGTTGGAGGGCGAAATCATTCGCAACCACGCGAACACACACAAAGCCACACACAACCCCACAAACAGCCAATTTTTGACTTTTATATATATAGATAATTTTTATTTTACCAGGCAAGGCCCACTGAGCTATAGCGCTGCTCTTTTCAGAAGCGACCTGGCCACAATCGATAGCTCAACGACGTGGCGTATCGTTTGTAAGTTTGTAGCAGCAATTTAAAGCAGCAATTTATAGCCGCCTCCCCCACTTCATGAACATCCCTCGTCCATCCCGCTCCTCTCCTGCACTTGAACTGATTTCATCACTCCGCCTCCGCGGCGGTCGCCCCGTGGACACGTTTCTCTCCCTTTGCTGCCATTCCGTCACCAGTCTCGCCCATCGATCATCTTCTTCCCATCTCGTGATTTGTCTTGCCCAAGCCCATTTACTTTTATTAAGTGTCAGTAATTGTGTTTGATTTGTGCTTGTTCCGTGCCCCATTATGTTCAAAATATATACATTCATAAACAGTACATGATATACTGAACATATATATGGTAGATACAGAATATTCGGAACATGGAGTGGATACAGAAGATATAATTTGCTGCCTAGTTTCGGTCCTACAATGCTTACGTCCCGAGGCATTCATTTAATGCTTCTGTGTGTGCAGTGGCCCGCGCGCGCGTGCGTGCGTGCGTTGGGGTGGTGGTACTTGCCCAGGCAGCCTTGCCCAGCGGCAACATTATTTCCATCTAGACTCTGTCGCTATGATTTCATTATGCTGCTCCAAACCCATTATTTATGTTGGTCCAACAGCAGCGGCACATCCGAGATGGCAATGCTCGTTGGGTCGGGGAATTTATTTTCTTCCTGCCACTGTTACGCTCCTCGGTAGCTTGCATTAGTTTGGCTCTTTGAGCTTTTGGCGAAGAGTTATATTATTGAAAGTATGGCTTATTGTGGCGTTTTGAGTATCAACATTTCCATTGAATGCAAGTTCTAGCTCTAAGTTATGGAGCAGCGCAGAAAGCTTTAGCTTTCCTACCAAGGAAAAAAGCTTTGGTTGTGGTAAATAATGATTAATATGATGATGCTGCACTTTTATTCGTGTAATTTGGCACACTGGTGTTCCCAGAATGCGTTTGCTTGTAGGATAATAATCCTACACAGTGATGTTTGTTGACTGGACGACCACATCCTTTCTGATGACACTCTCACAAGTTAAGACAAGTCCGTGTTTTGCGAAAACGTTGGTCTAGAAAACCCATTTGTCAACGGATTTAAACATTGTGCAGCAATTTAACTGACGTTTCCCATGTTTTCCTATGCATTTAGTACCAATAATCTGACGAGTAGAAATGTGGTTGTATTCAGTGTGTTACAAACAGGACAATTTTTTTGTTATCTTCAAGCCTCTTTACCCGTAGGAACAAGTGCTGTCCGAGAGCACCTGCTAAGTCCAGCATGGGGCAACTGGCTGCAAGCCGAGTTGTGTTTGTCCAGGGTAATGTTTCTGGAGTGCACAACGCACTCATTCAAAGCTGAGTCAAGGTAGGGAAGGCTCAGGGGTAGACTTGGATCGTATTTACCAATGATGTGATGGGCCAGGTATGCAATCTATGTTTATGGAATTGTGGAACAGTACACAAACCACTCCATCAATTATCTTAACAAACGAAGACAAAGATTACCAATAGAGTTTCAACAGACTGTTGGGGCAAGTGCTGTTAGCCAGCACCTATGAAGGCGGGCACGGCAGATGAAGGGATGGGTAGCCAGTACCACGCCCGGCCGCCTTTGTCTCCACAGTAGCTATGTTTACACATCGCACCAGGTACTCATTTGAGGTTGAGTCTACCTATTTGAGACCCAGGACTGAATCAGGTAGTCATTACTGGTGTTGGCCATGAACAGGAATTGAACTTGGATCTCCGGGTTTATGGCACAGGGTGCTCGCCGCTACACTACGGTTCCCGACTCTTAGCAAACATTCACGCAAACAAATATGTACACACGTGTTCATAATACATAACCACTTATACGACATACACCTGCAAAAATACATATGCTTGCTTGCATATATTGCATTTGAACTAAACAAAAGACAATGATTCCCCCTGTAGCTGATATAGACTGTCGCTGGACGTGACGTCGCCAATACCAATACTGATGTTTACACACTGCACTAGGTAATCATGTATGGTTGAGTCAACCTAAATGGAGGCCCATGACTGCTTCTGGTATTTCTTGCCACATTGCGCGAACCACTGCACCATCGCTCCCATCTAAAAGACACACACGGACGCATGCACACGCGTACCCAAGCTCAAATTGCTGATTTATCATCCAGCCATTATGCTCTATCCATTCTCCTGACTCCAGTTCAATCTTGGCAAACACGTTTTTTTTTCAGAAATCAAAATGAAAAAAGTTGTCACATACGAAAATTGCACATAATCGTATGTTACACTTTCTGCAGCTGTCCATTGCTACCGTAAGTTTATTCATGACCTGCAAATGTGTTTGTTCTTTAGCTCTGCGACCGTAGCCTACTGGTCAGCATGTCCATGCGTGCAGTTGACGGTTCGATTCCAAGTACAGCCACCCAATAATTTCTGAGCGGAATTCCACAGCGTACCAACTATTTGAATGGAAAGGATGATCAAGCGCCTGTGGCATCATATGCAAGAGTTGGTCTTTTGCATTATTGTGTTATAATCGTAGAGCCAAGCATCTATATATTTTACGTTCAGCTGTCAGTCACTCTGTCGCAGGATTTACTTGAGTTATTTTGGTGATAAAAGGTCCACTGAGGCCTCATTCTGACGACAATAATTCAGTGACCTATTGTTGACTTATGATAAAGTGACTCCTGCCATTGAAATTTAGAATTTCTATCAAAGGCTGTGGGCTGCCAATAGAGTTGAGTGGCTATGCACACTCTTTTGAGCAGGAAAATGCTTTGACCTTTTTTGCAGTAATTCTTCCATAACCAGACACTCTTGGCTCTCTCTTGCCAAAGGGATTGTGATTCTCAGTGACGATAATATCCTGTGGGGAGCAGTAGTGTCGTGATTATCGCATTGCGCTACGAACCCAGTGACACGAGTTCTAATCCCACTTACGAACGTTAACAGTGACGAATATCTGAACCGGTCCTGAGCCTCCCCTAGGTCGAATCAGCCAGTACCCGGTGCGATGTGAATTTTGGCCGGGCATGATGTTTGCCATCCTCACCTTCATGTACCGTTCCATCCTTCATAGCTGCTCATTAATAGCACTTGCCGCAGTAGTCTTTTAAATGCTTTTCGGGGATATTTGTATATCTATATCAATATATAATGTGTGTGTGTTGGAATATCCAAGGAGCGATGCTCAAACAATGAGCAGACCGTTAAAACTCAGAAAGTTGGCACAGGAGGGAGCACAGGTGGTGCATCTGCCAATCATCTCCATCAACCCATGGCACCTGGGTCTGTCTCGTGACCCTCTGCCAGTGAGCCTTTGACACTTTATATGGCCTCAAAGTGCACCTAGCTTGGCACAAGTGTCATGGTAACATCACCATTTAGTGGGGAACGGCGGTTGTTGTTGTTTGTCCGTATGCGTATAGCTTCTCGCCAGCAGCACTTGCCTCGACGACAGCCTGCAGGGCTAAGCAGGGCGTGTTGTGTTTGTGCGTGGGAACGCCAGGTGGACTTTGCCAATAAGTACGTGGGTGGCGGGGTGCTGGGCAACGGCCTGGTGCAGGAGGAGATCCGCTTTATCATCAACCCCGAGCTCATCGTCAGCCGACTCTTCACGGAGGTGCTGGGCCCGAACGAGTGCCTCATCGTCACAGGTGCGCGCCACACATGCTTGCCTCCAATGCTCACTCTCGATGGGCCATGCAGAATTCGTCACCGCGTACGTTCCCAGTCTACTCGTGGTGCCAGCCTTGTTCTGTATGCTGCTTGATGAAGGATGCTCCTGCGCATTCAATAGGTTTGGTAACGTAAACGCGTGATCCAAATGTCATCAGGCTCTGTAGGTTGTGTACTGTGTTGCGTGTTTGTTGTATGGGTTGTGGCAGTGCAGTGGTTAATGCACCCCACTACAAAACCAGCAGCCTTAGTTCAATTCCCATCCACAGATAACATCAGCGGCGAATAATATGCGAACCAAGTCTTGGCCCTCTCTTAGGTCCATTTGGCCTTAAATGAGTACCTCGTGCGCCGTGTGTACATCGGCACTGGGGAGACAAACATGGCCGGGCGAGGTGCTGACCACGCTACTCTCTCGTGCGCCGTTTTGACCTTGATAGGTGCTCGCTAACAAAGCTGCTACCCCCCTGAAAATCTATATCGGGTATACAGGGGATATTTGTTTTGTCTTGGAGGCATGATGGTGTTGTAATTCATGTATTGCTCTCCATTTCCGGTGACTCGTGTTCATTTCCTAGCTATGGACATGCGTATATTGATCTCTTCTGGGCCTCCCCTTTGGTCGACTCTGGCTTAGAATTGAGTGCCCGTTGTCCTAGTGATGTCATCTGCGACACACTTTCCTGTGAATGACATTTAATAAGGTTTGATAGAACCATGCGTACAAGCTTGTAATCTGGTTTTCTTTATTGTTGACTATCCATTGCTGGATGAAGGCCTCCACATTCCTTCACCTGCACAATAGCTGTTGCGTCTTATGATGTGTCCTGCCCAAGCCCATTCAGTTTCCTTAACACATTTATGACTTGTTTTCATTTCTTAATTCACGTGTTCTGCTTTCTGTGTCTCAGCGTAACTCCAAGCATGCGCTTCTCGGTGCTTCGTGGTTTACTCTTCAGCTTCTGTTACATTTTATTGTTCAATGTCCTTGCTGAGCCACGTCCAATCATGCTAATCATGCAGTGGTTGTATTTTTAACGTGCAGATTCCATAGAGTCGGGCTTCCAAAGAGTTCGGTTTCTGTGGAAGCTCTATAGAGCTAAGCCAAAGCTTGTTGATGTACCCACACAGCTGGATTTGTTTAGATGCATCTGATTTCAATATACCTGGGCTGGTTCGCATGCAGTTGGATTGAACAGGGCCAGGTTTGTTAAGAAGTGATTGGCAGTATAACTTACAAGATGCTCTTTGGGCACGTGTTGTGTGTGTGTTTGTTGTTTGTTCGTGTGTCTTGAGTCACGCGTATTGTGTCTGCTGTGTGTGTCACGTGTGTTGTGTCTGTCTTGCGGAAGTTGTGCATCATACGTGTATGCGAACAGTTCTTATTACGTGTTTTTTTTACCTGTGTGCATGTAACCCTGTTTGTATATTATTATCTCATGCACGCACATGTGTGTGTAAGTCAGCTGCTCTACGAACCCAGCGATCTGTGTTCAATTCCCACTCACCGTCAACACCAGTGACGGTCCTGGGCAGCCCCCAGGTCGATTCGGCCACAAACGAGCACCTGGTGCGTGGTGTAAACACCGCCACGAGGGAGACAAAGGCGGCCAGGCATGGTGCTGGCCACCCACCCCCTCGTGTGCCGTGCTAGCCTTCATAGGTGCTCGCTTAACAGCACTTGCTCATACAGTCTATTAAGGCTATACGGGGGTGATCTTTGTTACATGTGGTGTATACATACACGTTTATATCTGTCCGGTATGTATGTCTTCTATGCCGCATGTATTCTGTATACGCAAGCGTTTGTCCTGAGTGTGCGAGTGTCCACGAGCCATCAAACACTCCACGTCGGACGGGCGTGTCTTATTATCCCGGGCGTCTCTGCCTCTCCGTTGAAATGACAGGTGGCTCCGCTGATTCATAACCCATGGCCATGCACACGGCACAGCTCGGATGGGGCCAGGCCAGCCCCGGGCCCTGATTTATACGGCCTCCGCTTACGCTGGGGTGAGAGGAGGTAGGGAGATGGAGTCAGGGCCGGGAGTATTGATGGGAGTGTGTATGCTGGAGGCAGTGTTGGTGCTAGAGATGGCAAGGCAGACAGGCAGGTAGACAGATTGGTGAGCAGACTGACAGATAGCTAGCTAGCTAGACAGACAGGCAGGGAGGGAGATGTATGGTCTGACAGAAAGATCAGCAGATAGACGGGCAGACTGGCAAGGCAGGTAGACTGACGGACAGGCAGGCATGTAACCAGATAGATGGGCATTCTGATCAAATATTCATGTTGGCAGGAAGAGAGGATAGATGGGCATACTGACATGTACATTAGTCCAGACAGACAGATACGCAGACAGATAAGTAGAATGACTAAGAGAACGATAGGCAGCCAGGTAAGACGGACAAACGATGCGTAAGCAAGTCAAAGGGTCTCTTCTTCATTGAGTGCGTGTCAGTGCTCATCTCTATTGGGCGGCCATAAGCCAGTGGAATAAATTCCACATTCCTTTTGCAGACACAGTTTCACGCTATAGGCCAAACTATATCGACTTCTCAACCAAGTGGTGCTATTTTTTTGTACCTGGAGAGGTGATGGCCCAAGTCAAAGAGATAGCAGCTTTATAATTGTTTGGTAATTCGGTATATATAGCCACCCAACAAACACAGAGAAGGCAAAAGTGTCCTGTCTGATTGAAAGCAAGTCAAACTTTCCTTGGATTTATTTGTTATTTTTCTGGGTCAAGTTTATCGTCTTTCAACCCATGGTGTGATCCGCGTGCAGAGCAGAAAGCAGGACAGCTGCCACGACGTGTGCGTCAGCCCGGCGCGATTGATAGCAGGAGTTGGGGGAAATGGCAGGACTCAGGCCCTTGGGGTTATGGGCCAACAACCTCCCCCCCCCCCCCCGACGGTCTGACTGCCGTGACAACTGACGTGCGTGTGTCATTTTGTTATTTCATATTTCTGTGCGGTAATGTTTTATTTTGTTTCATTAAACCCCGCTTTAAAATGCATTCGCTCGTCTGGGCAGGCGAGCAGCAGAGTGTGCGCTCTCCGAGCTGTGGAAGATGGACATGCACGAGCGTGCGTGTTCATGTGTGCGTCTGTGTGCCTGCGCACATGTGCGTGTTCCCATTTATTAGATTGTTCTTCTCGAATGCTGGCTGGGGGCTAAGGGTTTTGCCTGCCATTTACCCACCCGCCCCCCACTTTACAAGTTAATGTGCTGTGCCGAGATTGAAACCTTTCTTGGCCAAATTCTATATGTTATATTATGAACGATGACGACGATGATGATGACGGTGACAATAACGTGACAGCCACATGGTGCTATTATAGGAGCACTCATCTCACTGAAGGTTACTGCATAAATTCCGATTAATGGTTGATTCGGCTCATCATCATTGTTTTGGTGATAAAGTGAGTACCATCTCATTGTGAATTATCAGTGGCCAATCTACATGAAGGCTTGTCCCCTGGATACGAATGTGTAATTCGCATAACTGGACATGAACAGGACTCCATTTCTGTTTTGAGCAGGGAGTCTCTTAAATTCTTGACCTTTGATGATGATAATCTTAATCATGATGTGAGGGGTTTTATTCTTGCTGCTAATTAACCCTTTTCCGTTCCAATAACGTACACTGATGACGTCCACGTCATCAGTTTTTTTTTCCGTTCTGTTCCGATGACGTACATATGTGTACATGATCGGAACAGAACGGGAAGAAAAGATAAAGTAACTTAATCGGTACCGAGGCTCCCACAAGGCAATGCAGGAGGGTGTGTGGTACAGTTTGGAGCCATCTACGGTTCTCTGTGGTGAGTACAACGTCTTGAAAATCAACGACGGTACGCCTCTCTAAATAAAATGAACTTCGATTCGCTCGCGCATTCCAAGATTCAGCGGTGAACGGGTCACCCACTCTACGACTTGCAGTCGTCTCAGAACAGGAAGGGGTTAATTTCAATTTAAATTCCAACCTGAGCACTCGACTCTTAACATGAGCTAAAGCTAATCCTCGTTCGGTCCCAGGTCAAATCCTACATTTCTCGACTGTGGGACTGGTTTTGTGTTTGCCCATAAACTTAAAATGTGCGGTGATTTTAAAACACTATCTTGCGAAGCTGAAGTTGGTTTCCACCCTCCCGCGGTCACCACTTGGACAAAACAATGCGTGTTAGACATTGGGCAGACCACACTGCTTTCATATTCGCCCATTTTACAACATACAGACCAGTGCCTTTCGAAGTGCTTAGACATCAGGCTTGCGGAACGGTCTCCGATAGGGTCTTACGAATGTTTGTCTGTGCACACAAGATGTTGACAGTGAAATGCAGCACAGAAAGTGTATTTCTTATAGCAAACTTAGTGGTATTTAAAAACATTATTCTAACATGAATGGTATGTAGGACACCACAGTGGCGAGATGTTAACTACCCCGTCTGGTATACAGGAGGTAGTGGGTTCGATCTCGACCCTGACACCTGCTGTATATTTGGAGTTTGCATGTTCTCCCCATGGTCACGTTGATTTTTCTCCGGGTCCTCTGGTTTTTCCCTCCACATTTATAAACAAGTGTTTTAGAGTATTTGGGTGCTAGAAATGTCCATGTGGTAAGTCACTGCTTTGAGTTATCATGTGTCTTGGTTGCATCTGAAAAAGAGCTATATAATTCAGTGGGCCTCACCTGGTAAAATAAAAAAAATAGTTTATTGTTTACGTATTTGGTTTTTCATTGGGAACTCTTTTATATGATAATTGTTTTTTTACCCTTTTATCTGGCAACGAAACTGACACCTTTTTTACAAGGAGTCATGTTTGCATTGACCACAATACCTGCAGTCGGAATGCAAACAAAAAACATAACTCTGATAATGTATGCACTGTCCTTAAAGTTCATTGTTCCGCACCCGGGACAGCTTTCCTTAGAGCCTAGTCTCACATGGTGTTGGACCAGATGGCGCCAAAAGG